AAAATTTGGGTTCAGAATGTAGTAAGTATGTACAGAAGAGGACAGGAGAGAGGTACAACAGTGGCTGTCTAAAGCTCTCTGTAAAACACTGGAGGCTCTGTCATAGTTTGGGGCTGCATTTCAGTCAGTGTTATTGAGGATCTTGTCAAAATTTATGGAATTATGAATTATTTTGATCCATCATCTGGAAAGCATCTGCTTGGCAACAGCTTCATTCTTCACAATAACAATGATCCCAAACACACCGCCAGTGCTGTGAAAGCTTACCTGAATAGAAAAACAGACAATGGAACACAATCAGTCATTGATTGACCTCCCCAGAGCACGGACCACGGCATTGCTGAAGAAGTGTGGGATCGTCATGACAGAGAACAGAACAAAAGGCAGCCAACGTCCACAGAAGAGCTTTGAAAGTCCTTCACAAAGCCTGGGGAACTATTTCTGAAGACTAATGCAATTACAGGAAAGCTTGCCTGGGAGAGTTCAGACTGTGTTGAAGGTCATACCAAATACTGACTTTCGGTTAGAATTGCACAAACTCTGTTTTTGTCTCATACACTGTACTTCCAGGTATGTTTGCACATGTTTTTAAAAAACTTGCTACATCTATTTCCCATTTTCCCAGCCAAATATATACGATGGGTGGCTCAAGACTTTTGCACAGTGCTTGTATACTTGTTAAATGTGTTTATCTGGCTTTAACTGAATCTGCAGTCATATATTAAATCATTTTGAAATCAGAATTTTTGTGTATCTGTGCTTGATATAATTTGTGCATAGATAAAATGCATTTGCATGTTTTTGCATGTTTACAAAGTGCGATAAACAACCCACGACTGAGCAGCACAGTTCAAAACACTATTACCTCTTAACTGATGCACATTTAATTACCTGTCCACATCTTTAATGTCTCTAATATTTTTCTGTTTCTGTCAGTTTAAGCTGTCATTACACAAAATCATTGACGTGACTGCTGCACAGTTACAGTAACTTGCTTTCTTATATTCTCTTTTGCAGATTCAAGTATGTATGCGCATTTCTTGTTTGAAGCCTTTGACACACAGAACAATGGCTCGGTCAACTTTGAGGTGAGATACACACCTCAAAGCCTCCTTTCATTCCCTGCAGCTCACAGAGATGTTTTCCCTTTTCCTTTTTCATCTTCTTTACTGTCCTTTTCTTTATCTATGCTGTGTAGTTTGATTATACTTTTTCTTAGAGTTTGGAAGAAAGCAGCATAAAGCTTTGTTCTTGGTGCACATCTTGTATAAATCTCATTACTTTTTAAAATGATTTCACTCTGTTGGTGAAACTCTGTGGGTGTCAGTATCACAGGGTTGGAACTGAAAAAACATAAAACATAGTATCAATGCAGCAAATATTGAAAAGTTTTGTCTGTGCCTTTTTTGTCTTTATTGTGGTCTTCACTTTTAGTGCCTGTTTTCTTTCCCTGCTGTAGGACTTTGTTATAAGTCTGTCCATCATCCTGAGAGGCTCCATCACTGATAAACTCAACTGGGCCTTTAATCTGTATGATATCAACAAGGACGGCTGCATCACCAGAGAGGTAAACCAACCAATCACTGCCTGTTTTTTTCTTTTTATTACATTGGCAGCTCATGTCTTTTTCATATTTATTTTCCTTCTGTCTGTTCTTCCAGGAGATGACAGAAATAATGCACTCCATCTATGACATGATGGGGAAGTATACATACCCCCACATGAAAGATAGTGCACCGAAAGAGCATGTTGACAGCTTCTTTCAGGTAAAAACTCACAAATAATCAGATCACACATCACACATCTCCAACACTGAATTCAAAGTGAGTCAGAATGTACTGAAAGTGATGGGTAAAGCATTTACTTTATCTACTGTGTCACTGTTGTGCCCATTAGTGTAAATGTGGAGCTGTGGGTTAAACAGCCAGCTTCGTCAGAGAGTGGATATCTATGAATTTGAATATTTTGCTTTTGCTCTGCTTCATACACACAAAAATAACCCAACTTAAAGACATGTTTTATTTCTAAATTGGGCTTTTAAATGATGAATAATCGTCCAAAAGGCAAAAAATTTGAAGCTAAACAGTGTAGCTCAGAAAACAGATCCCTGTGGAACAACACATCTCGAAGCAGCCGTTTCTGGGTTTAAACCGATGATAGTAACAAAAAAACTTTTGTCTATGAAGCAGCATTTACCCAGTCTAATGCTGATCCAGACACACCCACTGCCTGATGAGACTTATTCAATAAGATTGTGTGATCCACATTTTCAAAAGCTTAACTCAGATCTAATAAAACCAGAACTAATCTTACCAAGTTACAGCCCACTCTCGATTACTGGGAAGCATGGTGTCACCTGCCTGCATGTGAGTGATGGCAGGTGAAGGCGTATCTTCATTCCTGTGCACAACATAAATAAGCAGGAATCCACCTTTTCAGCAATTTGGTAGTGGTGATTAAACTAGAACATGTTCCATGGACTTCCACTGAAAATGGGCGGTTGGCAGTGCCAGAAAGCTGCAAAAAAACCCAACAAAAAACCCTGACGTCAATGATTATGGGAGGACCTGCTGAAAGGAATTCATTGATGATCCATAGTGGCAGCCCCAGCTTCCATTACTGTTTCTGAGTCCCTTTGAAATGTCGACTGGTTTTTCAAAGGCAACGAGGTAGAATGGACTTCACACCAACTGAGAAAGCCTGAGCTATGATGTTTGGGCTACTTAAGCTACCCCCTAGAGTTACTATAGAACATAGATTTTTTTAGGCCAATCCCTGTTTTTTGTGTCATCTGGTAAAATAATTTTTGTCCTGCAAGACTGGAGCATTTCCAGAAATGTCTAGTTGGCTCACAAACACAAATGTAAACAATGCAGGTTTTAAAGGATTTTGCAAATATGTGAAAGAACTTTTAGCACCTGGTAAAACTAAACTTGGAGAATGAGGTCAATACATTTTAAACTTTCATAGTTAATGTTCCTATTTGTGTTTGCCATATTGCTATATTTATTCGGTTAAATATAGGGTCATGATAGACCGTAACAAGGTTGGCTGTTATTAATTATGTCACAGAACTTTCCATTATTTTTTTCAGCACAAATGGGTCAGAGCCTGTAAAAACTGTGAAAGGTTGTAAGAGAGGTAGATTTTATAATTACAAATGTCACATCTGCACATCCCCTCATTTATGACTGGGGTCATGAATGAAGTCATTTAGTTACTTAAAAGTTAAATCATCATTTGTAACTTGTTGCATTTTTCCAGAAAATGGACAAGAACAACGATGGAGTGGTCACGATGGATGAGTTCCTTGAGACGTGTCAGAAGGTTAATAATAATATCTGTTTCAAACAGCAGTGCAGCTACACATCCACAGCTGCTGAAAATACAGAATTCTTTTTTCTTTTTCAGGATGGGAACATCATGCAGTCCATGCACATGTTTGATAATGTGATCTAAGCATTGGTGGACATAGACAGAAAACAGATTTCCCACCTGTTTGGAGCTCTCGGCTCAAATGCAGCTCATCGCCAGCGTGGATGAATTTTCTGAGCTTCAACAGCGGTCCAAGGTTCAAGTAGCAGTGACCTAAAGATACCGACCCCAAACACACATTTTCTAAAATACTTTTAATGAATAGACTGAGCAGAATGAGTCAAGTGTTGATGCAAAATTACTTGACTTGTGGGAAATGTGAGATTTTATTTTTTATACTACACATACGAATGAAAGCGTTAAAGGTACGCCATGTTGCAGTCTGACGAAAACAAAAAGTGCTAATGAACAGTTTCCTCAAGAAAGCAGCAGATATGCACAAGCAGCTGCGATTTTAAAATTTGATGACGTTCTTTCTAAATTATGACTATTACAATATTTCTCTATTGCATGTGTTTACACACTAAAGTGAGACAGAGGCACCGGTTATACAGACGTGGAACAAATGGAATAACTCTTAAATGTTGTAAAGTATCACACACTCTCTCTAATCACTCTTGTCCTATAACAGAGGATAGCTTTAAGTTTGAAATCAAAGCAATAATCTTACATATTATCAGTTCTTATCTGTTCTCTGTGTTCTTATGGAGCTCACCACTCACATTTATTATAATTGTGCATATTGTGTGCATGATGTATCTGTTTTCATTGAATAGTTTAATGAAAGTGTTAATATATTTTCTATATGGGCATAGTAACGATGGTGAGGAGGAAACTAAAAATCACACAGTTGCTATGCAAAAGCAAAAATCATTAAACTACTGAAATATGATTGATGGGTCTGGCTCGGATTACTTGTTTTGTTGTTTTTTTTTTAAAAAGTGCTGAAACAGTGCTTAAGAGGGTGTCACCTGTCCAGATTATGATGTGCATTACATTCATGCAGCAGAATGTAATGAGAGCCGAGCTTTTAAGAAGTTCCTGGCACGACTTCATCTGCAAACAAGGTGCATGGAGCAAGTTCAGCAACACTTCATTTATATTTTATTTGTAATGTGTTTCAACTTGTTGATTTTTTTCAGGGTGATCATAAAAACATATGACAAACAATACGTCCTCTCCACCGATGTTGCAGTCGTCTCTTACTTTAACACCTTCAGCACTAATTTGGCTCCGAGAGGATCTTTAAAGCTTCAGCGGCAGGAAATGTTTCTTTTACCCATAAATTGGAAACACAATTAAATGACTTTTTTTGTAGAGAAATGTCTATTTTCAAACTGAAAGCAGTGTAGCCAATGAAACCATTTTTGCCTTTGAATCAGACTACTAATGACAAGAGTAATAAAGAACTTGCTTAAAAAAAACAAAAAGAAAATAGCAGGTGTATAATCAGAAATTGTTCAACTGGGTGTTGCCTAAACAGACGATATAAACCCAGCAGACAACCATTAGATGTACCATGCTCGTACTGGGTTGGACCCAAATGATAAGCGTAAGAAAATGGATGTACAGAAAACGAGAAAAAGCACATTTCTGATTTATAACTCAATAAACATGAACACAAGAACATTTTGAATATATATCCTTTATTTTTATTAAACAAAATTTAAGTAAAAACTCTTAATAAGTAGAAAGACAAATTTCCCTGTCAGTAGTTTTTTTTTCTTTCAACCACAGCTGTATTATCTCATGTGTTTACTACGGAGTTGGACAAATCTGTTGCACAAGTATGTAAATGAGGTTTTTTTTCAGTGGCTACATATGATTTCCTCTCTAAATTCATTTTAAAATCAAAGGCATCTCTTTCCTTATTTTCTGGTAATTGTGCATAATGTGAAACTTTCCCAGTAAATAACTTATAAAAGTTGAAGATGACTCTTGAAAACAAACAAACAAATAAAGCAACCGTACTGATCAACTACAGTCCAAATAAAACGCATCAGATGATTACAGAAGAGAAGGGAGCAGCTGTACAGTGTTAGCTCGAGTATCTCCGCTTCTCCCCATTTGCTCACGTCTACTAAATTTTGTGACACATGAAAGGAGCGTTAACCACCTCTTCGCTGACTCTTGGGCCACGGTGTGAGAAAACTGACAGTATATAGAGCCAAAACTACAGCAAAGTCAGAAATGTGTCTTACAAAGGCGTTAAGCGGAGTTGGTGAGTTGGTGCACGCTGAGCCACCTCTGGCAGTGTTTTCAACTATTATTCTCTTTTTCTTTCTTTTCTTAAAAAAAGAAAAAGCTACGATTATCATCACAAAATAAAATATCTTTGGCATAGAATACCCACCCAAAAGCGTAAACAACCACGCACACTCATGCACTCACTCTTAGAAGGTTCTTAAAAAAACAAAACAAACTACAAGCATCAATGTCAAAATTATAATCTGCAAAATTATGCTATAAAACAAAGTTGAGCCCTGTTAAGATTATGAGTCCCATACTCGGCAATAATTGTATATATTACATCAGGTGGCGAGCAGAGGAAAAAGACCTTTCGTGATGACCACGTTCTACTCTTCTGTGTCCCGTTACATCCTAAATCAGCTCTTTGCTGCCTTCTCCTCGTCTGCTTCTTTCCCCTGAAAGAATACAATTTAAAAAAAGAAAGTTATTATTTCACAAAAACAAAAAAGTGTTTTTATCTTTTTTCCTTGCTCTGAAATGAGCAGGACTTTATTTGAAAAAGGGTGATAACATTTTGCTGTTAAAGCATTTCAGAGGTACAGGCTGCAGTGCTTTTAAAGTGCATTAGTACACTACATTAAAACCACTGATAAGTGAAGTCAATGGCATTGATCATCTCTTTATAATTTAATGTTCTGCTGGGAAACGCTAGGTCACGGTATTAATGTGGATGACACGCCTCGCAACACCCACAGAAATGGCTTAAGATGTTTACCCAATCGCCAAATTCCCAAGAATCTAATTTTTACTGATAATTTCAGGCTGCACAGAGAAGCCGCCTCACAATTCCCAACATCCAAATCATCCGCTGTCAATGACCCACTGTTAGACACTACAGGACACTCCCACAGGATCTTATACAGTGGATATCACACAAGTGGTTTAAATATTGTGGCTGATCACAATATATAACAAGAAAATAACATTTCAAAAAAGTACAGAGATAAATTCTACACGCTGTAAAAGGCATTTAAGTGTTTCTTCTGTGTTTTTAAGAAACCCCAGAGAACATAAGAATTTGATCTTTTACTTATACAAGTTCAAGATTATGCTTTTGAAGCTTGGACTTTGTGCACACACACAAACAAATGGCATTATTTCTCACACAGTCCCGATCAGCTGAGTCTAAATAAAGTAAGATGACTGGCTGAAGTAACATTAGCATCTACTGACCTTAATAATGGTCAGGTGGGTACTGTTGTCTTTCGTAGGGCAAACTGGCTGCGTATTCGTCATGCATCATAGTTCCATCCATGCTGTCCATGGGCATGTCACCTGGATATCCGTATCCTTGGAAACCAGCATCTAGCTCTGCAAAACAAGATGTGTAATTATTATATTAAGGCACATTTCTGGATTACTGGGATCAAACTGAGGGAGAAAAAAAAAAAGATTAATTTTTTTATTTTTTTTACTTCGTTGGATCAGAGTAAGAAACAAAATACCAAAACCATAAAAGGAAAAAAGGCAAGTAAAGGAAAGGATAGGACAAAGATGCAAACATAGATAATGAAGAAACACCACAATGGGGGCGAGAGGAAGACCTTAACTTGATAATAATGAAAAGGAAATGATGTATCAGGAAATCAAACACAGAAACAAACAAACACAATGTTGTTTTCAATGTATTCGTTTTAGATTTTCTTAGATTCTGGTATAATACACCTTGACTGGGGAAAAATTATATAACAAAGCACAGATGGAAAGAATTGATAAAAAAAGCAAGTTTAAAATTAATTTAAGAAGATATAACTGACGGTTCATGCGAATCTCAAATTAAAAATTTTACTTTACGGTACATGAAAAATAAGTAGCCATTTGTTTTTTGTGCTGAGCTCATTCTTATAGCTACCAAATAATGAAAGTAGTTTGTAAGCAGCAGCAGGGAGGCAACCTGCTAACAAATTATTGCGCTTTCATGCTGCGGCTGCTCTCCGTGGTGTAGTGACCCACTGCTGAGGAATGTGCTGTATGTGCACATTTCAGCCACAGTTACTCACCATCGGGATAGGGTCCCTCCATGACAACTGTGTTGTGGGCCTGCAGATAAGTCACGAGAGGGCAAAGGTCAAATGAAGCCAACACTTTGATATAGAAAGATTTTTAATGCCACAAAAATGCCAAGATGTATTTGACACAGAAACAACCGACGTGAATAAACAAGTCTACGAGAATCTTCATTAATCTTCAGCTGTCGTGTTGGTGCATCAGAGGGTGCCACACCCACTCACCATCTCCCAGGCAGCGGGATCGTTTTTGAACAGAGAGTGTGTGAGCTCCACAGACACTCGCTTCCTGTAGTCTGAGTTCTTATCCTCGGAGATGCGGAAGAGGACGGCTGCGGCGTAAGTAGCTGGAGGGGAAAGAATAAGAAAACAGTCAGTGGTCGGGGTCAGCGTTAGTTAATAAACTTTGAAAGCTTAATATCTGGAACAGAATGTCCTTTACTTTGAGCTTCAGCACATTGGTGCAAAATAAAATGACCAACAGTGCGATTTACAGTGGTTGATCTATGAGTAAGCGTGGCCTTTTTAAACATCTAGAGCTCAACGTTTTAGAGTTTACAAGTATAACAGAGAGCATATAAGACAAAAAAATGCATTTTATTTTTTTGGTGTGAAATCCTTCCTACCTGAAGTCATTCCTGATAAAGAAATGTGCAGCTACATCCTGTTTATTTAAGGCTTATTATACTTCATTTGGTTCATTTGGGCTTTTTCCTCCTTAGCAATGTAATTATAGTGACAGACTGTTGTATCTGCAAGAGCTTCTAAATGTGAAGCTACAGCAGGGGCGGGCAATCTCAGTCCACGAGGGCCAGTGTCCTGCAGGTTTTAGATGTGTTCTCGAACCAACACAGCTGATTTAAATGGCTAAATTAGCTCCTCAACATGTCCTGAAGTTCTCCAGAGGCCTGGTAACGAACTAATCATGTGATTCAGGTGTGTTGACCCAAGGTGAGATCTAAAACCTGCAGGGACACCGGCCCTCTTGGACTGAGATTGCCCACCCCTGAGCTACAGCCAGTTAACCTGCGTCAGCATAAAATAAAATGGAAACAGGGTTTAAAAAACAACAACAACAAAACAGAATAAAACAGCCCAAAATATGAGTACCTGCAGTGCTAAAGTGTACATATTAGCATGTTATATCTTCTTGTTTGTTAAACTGAATTAACCAGGACAACAAGCTGGTGTTTCTGTAGCATCTACAATAAAGACAGAACCTAACAACAAGAAAACAGAATTTCACACAACAATGTTTCCATTATTGTGTATTCTTAAAATGTAGTTTGCAACATTTCATTATGGAATGCGTAGAAAAGTATAATGACTCGCAAAATGGACTTGTGCAAGTGCCTGGAAACTGCACTTACAGTAAGCACAGCACTTGAGTAAATCGACTTTGTTATTTTCCATCTATGACTAAATGCTACGTTACAGTAAGCTAATTACAGTGCATTATGTGCATGTTTTACCAATGCCCTCGTTGTTGGAGTGCAGCAGCTCCATCAGTGGAGCCGAAGCGCCCTCGGCGTCGATGAGCTCAGCTGATGGTTTGTCCACTGCCAGCTCGCACAGGACGCCTGCTGCCACGCGCTTCACGTTGTCCACTGGAGAGTAGAGTAGCTGTAGAAGACAAGAAAAAAATAAGTTTAAGAAAAACAAACATAAGTGCGAATTGAAAGTAAGTAAGTGAAGTTTATTTATTAAGCGCATTTCATAGACAGGCCGTCACAAAGCTAATTGTAAAGGCTTCGTTTCTGTTTCTTTGTTTACCTGGACAAACAAAGGAATGGTCTGGAGATTGGCGATCTCTGCTCTGTTAACAGGATCTCTGGCTAGTATGTGCAAAGCTCCTGTGCAGCCCTCCACAATCTCCTCCATCCTCACTCCATCCTGAGAACAAAACATGAATAGAAAAAATGTGATTCTACAGAAATGCTACAATGTCGACAGAGGGATCATAAACGTCCTTTGACATGAGCCCATCATGTACCTGGTATGTCTGCTGGTTGGATGAGCCATGTTTCTGGGCATCCTGGTGGGCTTTGAGCAGCAGGTTGATCAGACGGGGGACTGCTCCTGCATCCCTCAGAGGGGCCTGGTTCTCGTCGCACAGGGCCAGGTTACGGATCAGGCCAACCGCAGCCTTCAGGCAAGAAAAAACAAGCAAAGATAGACTGATTATGCAGTTCTGTTATTGGTCAGCAAGTAAAATGACTGGAATGATCTCAAACTTTTGTTTTCATTAGAATGTGGTGTTCTGTTTTTCCCCCTAAATCCCAGTCTTGTAAAACATACTGCTCCTGCTGTCATGTGCATTTCATGCTCTTTCAGGATGGCTGAAACTCTGGCTCTCTGCCCTACTTGCCATCCACTTTGGCCATCTGTCCAGCTCCCAGTGTCTACCACTGAACTCTTTAAAGTACTTATTTCACAGTCTTTAATATTTTTTCCAGCATAAAACCACCTTCTTTCAGTCAGATCCTTTCTTCCATAAATTACCACATTTCTGTTGCGCACATTTTTGCCCCACTTTAGAATATCCTTCCCTCTTTTAACTACCTTGATGACAGGCCAGTAGTAGGGTTGGTTGAGCAGCTTGACAATGGGAGGGATGCCATAATGTTTCCTCACTGCATGCTGTGCCATCTCAGCCTGCTGGTGGCGTGAAGTCAGGTGGCGTAGAGCGCAAATGGCGGGTTCAGTCACATCCTCCTTCTCACTGGCACGCAATATGGCATGGATGAGAGCCTCAACGCCATTGCTCTGAGTGACCAGAGATTTGTTATGGGCATTGTTGCATGTGAGGTTAGACAGGACGCCGGTCGCACAGGTGAGCATATTGATGTCATCTGAACTGAGCAGGCCAACCAGCTGCTGCAGCAGGCTGTCCATACCCTCCTGAAAGAAAGAAAAAAAGATAGATATTCCCCATTAGTTACTGGTGGGTGGAAATATAGCAAAAAGAACGTGAGAAAAAAAAAAAGTAAGTAAGTAAAGCTGGACTCAGACCTGTTTGGTGGCAGCATCAGAGAGGTTCCTGAGAGTCCAAAGGCAGTTTTGCGTCAGACGCTGGCTAGAGCCAGTAATGTGTTTGCCTAGAGCCTGCATGCCACCTGCAGGGAAGAGAGAAGTAAAATTACTCAGCTCTCAACAACATTTAATAAATTATGCTATCAAGAAACACAGTTACCAAGGAGCCATTGGCCCCTGTTCAGATAACACAAAGCTGACACACCTGTATGACTAGCTTGTGCACACAGGTGTTTCAACACAGAAAACCTATATCACATACCAGCCTCTACAATGGCGGGTTTGTTGCTGGGGCACACAGAGAGGACTTTGAGCACACGGCTTGTGGTCCACAGCAACTTCTCGTAGTTGTAGTTTCTCATGATATGAACGAGACCTTCGGGGCCCCCGTTGGCAAGGATGATCAGCTGTTAAACAAAGACCTTTATGAAAACAAATTCTTACATTTTACAATGCACACTTCTAACTAAGCCATGACTTTCCTGGCACCTGTCAATTCATTACACTAAGCAAACAAACAACCACACCCAGCCAGCACCTGAACACCTCTGTTCTCATGCCACACCCAAAGCAAAACACATGCACACACACGCACGGCACTGTCGAAGGTTTCAGATTGCAGTCATTGTGTAACGTAAGCACGTGGTAACAAAACACAAAACAAGTGCAAACTAAAATAATAAATTCACACACACCTTGCTCTCCTGGTTGCCGTATGACAGCAGCTGCAGACAGTCTGTGGTGATGGCCAGGAACTTGGGGTTACTCTTCTTCAGCAGGGGAACCATTCTCTGCAGTCCATCTGCCAGACGAACGGCCATCTTAGCTCCTTCCTGGTGCAGCAGCAGGTTGTGAAGCGTGGTGATGGCGTAGAAGAGCACAGATTCCACAGGGGAGCTGTGGGAGCAACGAGGAAGAGAAACATGCGTGTTTAGCGTGCGTCACAAAATAATCCTGTCTATTTTTCGTTTGAGCCAATTGTGTTTTTCCTTATTTTCCACCAGATATATGTATATATTAGTTAGTGGTTGATAGCTCATAGTGAGCATGGCCTAAGCTTCAAATACGTCAGTGCCCTTACCAGTAATCCCTGTGAGTCAAAAGCTCACTTGTTCATTGGACAGAAGTTAATCATCTTGTTCCATTTAGATCTAGCTGATGGGAGGAACAATAAAGCTTCCCACCAGGCTTCCAGCATTGAAGGCTAATGCTGGCAGCTTACTCAAATAATATTAAAAACTTACTACAAACTGTTATTTCCTTCTACATATAACTGCACGGTAGCTGCACTGGAAAATACTTCAACACATTGCCACAGAGCGCATCTTAACAAGGATTTAATGCAACTTTGAGTGACTTTTCTAAAATATTTTGAGTTTTTAATGCAAATATGTCCTATTAACCATAATAAAAAAGTATTTCTAGCAGACCACAAGTGAAAATTTGACCCATTTGTAAACCAGCAGCACCTGAGCATGCGGACTAGAGCAGGGATTCCTCCTGACTTGAAGATAGAGAGCAGGCCCTCTCTCTGGTGGGACAGGTTGTGGAGGATGCTGGCCGTGGCTTTTGCCGTCTCCATGTCGCTTGTGTTCTGCATGGCTCGCACCACGGCCGCCACCATCTGAGGGGACTGCATCAGTGCACGGCGGGATGCCTCCTTGCGTGTAAGCTGGTTCACAATCTGTGCAGCCTTGCTGACTACCACCTTATGAGAGATGGAAGGGGAAGGTATGAGTTAATTTGTACAAGGGAAAATTAAACACCAAAGTTCTTAAATCTTCCTATTCAGAAGGTAATACAATGTACATGGCATTTTTTTCTGAATTTGATATTCACTTAGTAATTATCAGAAATCTAGATAACCTTCAATTATTTGACTTATTTGGTCAAAAATAGAAAGCTACTGCTAAGGGTGGTGGGCTAGGCAGTACACAATCCCCAGGGAAAGCAAGTTTAACGCTTTACAGTTTGTTTCCATCAAGGAAATTACACAAGAATGAGTGAACTGAGTTTGGCTGGCATATTTTGTGATGTTTTGACTGATTCGGATTTATTGTTATCAATCCTCATGCCAGTATAAGCATGAAGACTGCAGCCAGCACTATATTTAGCACACAGACATGACCACAGTATTGATGTCTTATTATTAGCACAATTTTAAACTTATTCCTTCGCTAGATCCATTAATGACTTAGTAATTATTTGAGAAAGTTTAACAAAATATTTATAGACTGTGTTTGTTTGTATCGACGCGGGCACATCTTCGTTTTCATCACCTGGTCTTCATCGTTGAGCAGTTTGGTGAGCTCTGGCACGGCACGTGTGGCTAGCTCGGCATCGTCCTGGTAGTTGATCAGATGGATGATGGCGGTCTTGAGCATCTGAGAGGGCTCGGCCAGGCGCTGGACGTTAGTCATCTGGGACGGGTCTGTCTGAGTCGACAGAATGGTGGTGCCTCCCTCCAGTGTCTCTGGAAACATTGCAGCTCGCACCCTCTGAGCTCTGGTCATAACGCTTTGGGGATCCATGTCTATTGAGAAGCGAGATGATGAGGATGATGTAGTCTAGGTGTATTTAAGCCAAAGTTACAGCATGTTAGCTGGTCTGTCCTTACCAGGCTCCTGCATTGTCACAGTGCTGGTCATGGTGTACTGCTTAGATATGGTGAAATCGCCGTCATCATCTCTGACTGTGGTGGCTCCAGACTGGATGCCTGAGTCTAGACCATACATCGTCTGTTGCCACTCTGCCACCTTTACTTTGCCAGTTTCCATCTCACGCACTGCCAAGGAAGGAGAGAGGAAATCAAAGGTTTTAAAAGTAACTTAAAGTAATTAACAGATTTCATGAAGATTAAGAAACTGCTCTTTATTAAAACCTTTGTGTAGATCAGTTTTTCTTTCTCCCAAGATAAACACAGTTGTTTTTTTTAACCAAAGTAATAAAAATTTTATAGCAGGAACCTGTAGTTATACTTTATTTTAAGGAAGTGATTTCAATGCAAACACTGAACACAATACTTGGAAGTAGAAAAGGTCAAGCTCAAACTGTTCAGGTCTATTTTGAATGAAGTGATAGAGACTGAGGTGAAATCAACGAATCACACAAATACAACCAACATTAAGCTGCTGCCTTGTCAAAACAGAATTTACAGAAGAGGAAATAAAAATCGGAACATAAAATATGATCATGAAATTGAGCTGATTTACTTACTCTGCATTGCCATCCTTTCTTCCGATGGAGCAAACCTAAAAACAAACACACAGAGAAATCCAACGTCAGTGTTTCCACCATTTCACCTCATACAACGGGTAAATACACGCATTCCTACAAACCCTTTTTGCACGAATTAGTGAATAAACTGTCTACTTCTTTGCACGAGACAGCTTACTGAGTATGGGGGTGGCACGAGTTGGACACTTCCCCACTGGAAATTAAAGCACTGAGCAGAGTGACTTGCAAAGAGAGAAGGGAGAGCAAAGTGAGTAAAGTGACAGCTGTAATGTAAAAATGCTAAGCAGGGTGAGTGACCTTTAACCCCAGGTCTCCACCAATGCAGTCATGGGAGCAGCCCACTGCTGATATGTGGCAATCAGGAACCTGCTCATCAGGTTTCAATTCCACTTTGAAAGTGTGTATGTAGATGACTCCCCAACACACCTTTAAAGTAATAAAAAACAACCAAAAAACCCCAACAACACACACCCTTACCTTCACTTTAATTTTGTCTTTATATTTACATGCCCACCAAAAAACCTGGATTTTAAAACTACAACCCTTAATCATAGAGGCCAAATAAACTACTTAAGTCCGCTAAATACTTGGTTTCACTTTAACAATCCCCCAACTTGTGCAACTACCTGCTACCTGTCGGTGCATGTTTGTTCATCATGCTCTTGGTTTATCATGCAAATACTTCCTCTCACCCCCGACAGGTTTCTACATGGCTGAACTGCAGTTAGGTTTTTAATGTGCTTCGCCATTAAACCCTCTGCAAAAAAAGAGCAAAACTAGTACATGTGAAATATTTAGAAAAGATTATGAGGAAAACGTAAATGTATCCTCTCAGAAAAATTCAATGTAATAGTGGTGTTTTTGTATACAGGAAGACAGATTATTCTTGGAAGTGGCCTCCCAGACCCAAAATAAACCCCCATGGTTACAACATGCATGGAAGTTTTCTGCATAGTTCTGTAGTCTTAATGTCATTCACCCTGAATTTCAGAGAAACCTGCATTCGCAATAGCGGCTGGTCACTGGATGTGTCATACAGTCTACAGTATTGCATTCACTTTGCTGCTTATGAGCGTTTTCAAATGTTAGACTTTTACAGGATTGTTTGCCGAACATATCGCCGGAATGGGTTATGTGTGTGATGGTTTTGCTACAGATGTACTTAATATATGAGGGTGTGTGCATTTTCTGAGAGCGCGCTTAGAATAAGAAATCTCAGATTTAATTCACAGAGCTTGTTGCATAATTGGCCATAAATAACAAAAACTATATTACAAAAACAGAGATGATCCACACACAGTAGAGACAAACAAGCAAGTGGGAAAAAAAAAGCTTTAATCTTCAAAACCCTTCTGTATGACAGCTGTTTTTAGCTTACTGTGGTTCTGCATGTAATAAGCAGCTCTGCATATCTTCCGTCTTGACTATTAATAAAACAAGTTGGGGCTAAAACCCACAATGGCAAGCTTCTGTGCTAGCATATAATGAGCCATAAACACTTAAATTACCACCTTTACCTATACGCGCCCTCAGTTCCATGGAACAAAATGTACTAAACAATGTTAAGAAAATGGAAAATACTTGAATTGAAGCTGATCAATGGGCATGCAATTACAACTTGTAAAAACAAGAACAAAGAATGTATTTGAGTCAGTCTAGTTTTCTCACGCTACTTATTTGATCTGATGTGCATGCATTACTGTTGCTAGCGGCTTTGTTTTTCATTAAAATTGATACGAAGAAGAAATTTTCACCATTTTTCAGCGTCTGTCCTCAGTTTTCTGTACGCGCCACTTTGTTTAACGAAAAACTCATTTATACGTCGACACATTTACTTTTCAACACAAAGTTATTTACTATACGGTTCATGTGCACTGGCAACATTTTCCTCTACGAGTTTCCCATGTATTGAGTCTCACTTGAGATCCTGCAGGACCAGGCCACAGAGGGCTGTCTGTGCTTGCAGCTACACGTTACCTTACAGATAACACAACTGTACCAACATTCCCCGTGCATTTCTACCTTTCTCAGTAAAGGTGTGGCCACCTTTTAAAAAATTACGAGCACTGGTTAACAGGGCAACGGGAACAACTGGACAAAAAACAAGATACAGCTTCACTAACTTTTTCAAAGGTTTTAAAACAGATAAAAGTATAATGATCCATTTATAACAAACAGTACACATCTGAGTTTGGTGCAGAATGTATGTACCTTCCTGTTGTCTGTAAATCAGGGTCAGTGTTTGTGTAGTCTTTGTTTTCCTGGGCGAGGCAGCGGGTTCAGTCAACTGTTGCAATGCAGTGACACGCCCCGCATATTGTCTAGGTAACTGAAAGTCCGCTGAAACGCTGTGCTGTGAGGGTTTTATCTGCTGTCCAATCTAAAGTCTGAAGCTCTGGGCACTTGTTTGTTGATAATTTGTCTTTTCCTCTTGGGCTTTCTTATTCTCTTTTTTCCTCCATTTGAGAAAAAAAAATCTATTGGGGAAGGGGTAGGCTACAAATTATTTAAAAGAATAAAAGATCAAAGCAAAAAAAAAAAAAACCCTGAGTGAACACAGTTTTCTATGTTCTGATGATTATAAAGTCTAACCCAGCCTTCTCACATTGTTCAGTGCCAACAAAGAGCTGATGGTGCGTGCTGTTGTGACTGAACTTTGTTCTCTTCCAGTTAATCAGTAATATGTCCTTTCACTCTCACTGTGAAGTGCCTTTCTCCTGAATAGTCATTCCCACTGCCATTTATACACCCACACAGACAGTGACATGAAGCCATACTTCAGGAAAACACTTTTCACACACCCGTCACCTCCCACTATCTTGTTAAGCAACAGCCTCTGCGGATGATGATTTAGGAGGCTTAAAAAACCCCAAAAAGCCTGCACAGTAAAACCAGGAATGTGTATCAGTAAAAGCTGCCAGTGAGGGAGGAGTGAGTTGCAACAGAAAAGCAAAGCAGAGATGGATCTTGATCAGGGCCCAGCGCTCAAACGCTGCTGTGACATTCCACACTAGTGTTGCATATTCAGTCTGAGTCGTCAATCTGTTTCTGGGAGGGAAAAAAAATAATAAAGAAAAGGGGAGAACACACCAACCTTATCTAAACTTTACTCACTGACTTACTCAGAAATGTTAAATTGCTGAAACTAAGAGAAACTGTAGGGACAAGACTACTGTGACAAAGGATGAGTAACTCTAATCTCTGCAATGAGAACACATTTACTATCATGCAAATCCCTCAGGCATGTTGGAAAGGGAGTGTCTCTTCAGCAGTGACAGGCTCTCAGAAAGGGTGTGGCAGAAGAGTGCTTGGATGTGTGAGGAAGAATACACCTAATGGCTAGAGGGGATCTTACATTTTATTCCTTTCAGTATCCTCCCAATAATTATAGCTTTACAGTTGCAAACGGAGCATAGTAATGAAAAACATTCCAGCAGGCCAGATTTTGACTTTGCTGGTGTAAGCTCTTCTTTGTATCACAGCAGGAATGAATCAGGTCAGGCAAGAGGCCCAGGGGGGCTTCAGATAAACTTTGCTCATATTGCAGTTGTGTTCAAGAGGCTGTTCACATACTTTACAGTATTTGTAGTAAATGTTGCTGAGCCACATGTCGATTTAGCAGGCTGGGGTGTAAATAATATTTCTGTTGCTTTTTTCTGTTTTACTTTCTATGGATTTTTGTTTTAAAGCATAAATACTGGGGGGGGGGGGGGGGGGGGGAAAGAAAAAAAAGCATCACAGGTCTAAATATTAAAATATTTGTAAATATGTTTTTTTTCATATTTTTTTTCTCCTGTGAAACTACAACCTGTCATTTTCACGCCAAGCTAAGCTATGCTAACTGTCCTCAGGCAGCGGCTTCATATTTAATGTAGAGAGAGGAGAGAAATACTCATATTTCCATCATGTTTTCTTTCCGTTACATAAGGAAGGAAAAAACTGTTTATGATAATTAAACATTTCTCACAGTTATGGGAGGATTATAACTGGGCTTTAGAAACATCCTTATCTGGTGGCTGTGTGAACAACCTTGCTAAACTTATTTAAAGTAACAAGCAAATAAACTTTATTATATTAGTGAACAGCTTCCTATAGCACTGGAATAGATAAACAATTTGACATACAGGACAGCCTCCCATGCACATGCACACACCCAATCACATTCATGTCCCCAGACATGTAAGCCACACTCTTCTTGCAATAAACCGTTTCCCAGATGGCTTTAACACACACCCTGCACTCCCACAGCCCAATCCTCCTGACACAGTAAATGGCCAGTTCAGCCAGCTGAGTCTGCAGTACAGTTGACATTTTCCTCTCTGCATCCTCTCTCCATAGACCCGGGGTTCAGCTGCCATGACAGGAAACAAGTTAACACATTCACAAACCCTTCTGGTTCCCCCTCATGCCTTACTTGTACAACAATAGATACTATGACACTGTAATGGCAGCAGCTGGGGCTGGATAGCTGTTTGCTATAAATCAATAAGGGAGGATGTGAAGCAGTGCACAGCTAATGGATTTACCATGGTGGGTGACAGGAAGTGGTGGTCAACATTGTCTGACTCACCAACATTTCTGGGCTGTCTGCTCTGAGATGGGAAGTTTATTAGGAGAAGTTACAAACTGCGATAAGGTACTGGGGAAGAACACAGCTTGAAGCCCAGATTGTGTAAAGCACAAACTCTAAGAGAAAGCATTTGTCAACTGACTGTGACAGGCAGTTGATCAAATCCAGACCAGCGCAACGTCACCATACCAAGTGCCTAGAGAGAAGAGACAGCCAACAACACAATACTCCTATGCACTTGTGCAACACACCAAGTGAATTTGTGTAAATGTGGCAGAGTGCATCTCCTTCTTCCCTGATCTGGAAGCCTTCCCAAAACAACAAGCAGCCTCAGCCAAAGAATTTAAAAAAAGAAAGAAAGCGAAGCAACAGAATATCTAATGGGCCTTGATTTGTCAGTTGATTCACTGCAGCAGCTTTAATAAGCTGATTTAGGCCAGAGGA